TCTGGGTTGGGGAGGAACAGGTTTCGGGGAGCGGAGTACGGTGAGAGTACCTCGGGAGGATGAGCAGGGGTGTGGGGAGCAGGTGCGGGGAGAGGAGTGTGTGGTGAGGGGCGCGGGGAGGGCGCCCCGGCAGCCGCGCGCGGGGCGGACGAGGCGGGGCGCGGGGAAGATGTGCCGCCCGGAGGATGCTGAAACAGCGCTCAGCGGGTGCGTGGGGGAGAATGTTCTGGGAGAAGGGGATGGGGGATGCACTTGGGAGCAGGGTGCACAGGGAGAGCTCTCGGAGCGCGCGGGTGGCGGGGGCGGGGGGGGGGGGACAGGCGTGTGTTTCCTGGCCCTGCCCCCGCCGCCTTTCTCCCGAGACCCCCACCCCCCCCCCGCCCCCCCCGCCGCAGCAGAGCGAGCGCAGCCTGTGTGACCTCCAGGTAGAGGCGGGCGGGGTGGGGACCGGCTTCTCCACAGCTCAAACCAGAGAACACCCCCCACCTTTTCTTCAGGGGTTAAGTTACCTTTTGGAGGATGATTCTTACTGTTAAAAACCAAAATTCCACTGAGTGCGTTTGAAGATCTAATTGGCTTTATTTGGTTGCACCGATGTGGCAGGGTCCCATCCAGCCAGCAGAAAGGAGCTCCCAGGAACTATACAAGGGGAAGACTTTTATAGGCTGAAACGGAGGTGGGGGAGTGAGGGGGTGAAGGAATTGGGAGGGCACTGGATAAGACAAAGGTTATTATAAAAGGAAAAGATCCTTCCCCCAAGGTCACCTTGCTTTGGGCATAGGGCAGGAGTCTCTCACTATACAGACCAGGTAATTGCAAGTGGGCTGGTTCAAGGTCAGACTCCGGAGAGGCTGATAGGTTAGAACTGTCAAAGTTCAGAAATAACAAAATGGAGCCAATGATTCACCAGAGTAGCAGTTAGTAAAAGTTACTGTGCACGCGCCAAAAAGAGACAGTTTGCAAGCACAGAGCCCTTGAACCGGAACATAGGATGGGAGTCAGGGGTCTACGGTCATCATAATGCATCCCATATTGAGTGGGAAGGCATGGTTCTTCTCCACAGGACTTTGACTACAATATTAGAAAGGTTTTTTAAATAAATTTTTGAAATATTTATTTTTGAGAGACACAGAGACAGAGTATGAGCAGGGGAAGGGCAGAGAGAGAGAGAGAATTGGAAGCAGGCTCCAGACTCTGAGCTGTCAGCACAGAGCCCGACATGGGGCTCGAACCCACGAACCCATAAACCATGAGCTCATGACCTGAGCTGAACTCAGATGCTCAACTAACTGAGCCATCTAGTCACCCCAGAAAGTTCTTAAATGGTGGGGAACTGGTGCATGGTTACCTCATACTGACCTTGGGAAGCAGTGAGAGTTTTGCTCTCAAGGCGTAGGCAAAAAGTGGCTGGGCAAGGTGGGCGTTGCAAACCCAAACTTCGTATGACTAAGCTTTTTTTTCCTGTTCAGAATTTTTAACGCCGGTCTCCCTTTGGTTTTGATTTAACAGCTGTCTAAATCTTGGTTTGCCGTCCCGGGGCAAGTGAGTCTGTTTGGGGACTGTTCCCACCCCCACTCTTTTTTTTCTCTGACTTTGAGAATTCCAATGGACAGAAGTATGCCCGGCTCCAGTATTTAACAAGTATTATACGTGAAATACTGACATTCGTTGTCTGACAGATCTGAAGAGAAACTGCAGTCACAAATTAGAGGACACAGAATTGGTCGCAGGGTGTGGGTCCTCTTATGTATGTATTTATTTATTAATGTTTTTTATTTATTTCTAGGAGAGAGAGAGAGAGAGCGTGAGCAGGGGAGGGTCAGAGAGAGTGTGTTTCATATTCTGAAACAGGCTCCAGGCTCTGAGCTGGCAGTCAGCACAGAGCCCGACGCGGGGCTCGAACCCACGAACCGCGAGATCATGACCTAAGCGAAGGTCGGACGCTTAACCGACTAAGCCACCCAGCGCCCCATGTGGGTCCTCTTATGATGGGTGTCTATGGTAAGCTGTCCTGGGACTCGGAAACGCCCACAGCAGGGACCACAGGTCTGTCTCCCTTCCAGGTCAGGGCTTGGCCAAGTGACCTGCTTGGCTGGCTGACCCAAGGTCACAGGTGGCAGCTTCCCGGCCAGCTTTGAACTGGCCTCCCGTGCCAGAGGTCAAAGCCACACCAGGCTGCTCCCCTGCAAGGGGAGTGACCTAGAAATGCTGAAATCCAGAGACCAGGGAATATCTTGGAAGCCCAGTCCTTCCGGGCCCCCCTTCCCCTCTGCTGCTTCCCTGTCCCTTTGCCCTTCTCTCCTCTGCTCTACTCTGCCCTACCCTGCCCACCCGACCCCTCTGGCTCATTCTACCCTCCTGGGGTCTTCTGGGTTAAAGAGACTTTTGGTTGGATTCCTTTGCCTTTAAAGGATTAGTGATTTCCCTGAACTGGAATGAAAGTCTAAATCTTAAACCTCCAAAGGGGTTTTCACACGCTGCCCCACCCTTTAAGGCTGCTCTCCCCCCCTCCCTCTCTTCCCTCTCACCAGGCAAGCTGCTCTGGCCCAAAGTCGCCTAATATTTGACGATCTGCCCCTTCCCTTCCCCTCTTTGGAGGCCAGATTGACCTATTAGTTTCCCCTCTGCACAAACCTCAGGATCCAACAAATTACATTCTTAGTCCCAGGACTTTCTGTGCTTGTGGGCACCCCAGTAACATTTTAGTTAAAAAAAAAAAAAAAAAGGGGGAGTTATTTCCATGGGCTTTTGTTCCCAAGTGGACTTCTTTTGTTATCCTTACTGATCATAAGATTAATACAAATTCATTGTTTTTTTTGTTTTTGTTTTTTTTTTAATTTATTTCTGAGAGAGAGAGATAGAGACAGCATGAGCAGGGGAGGGGCAGAGAGAGAGGGAAACACAGAATCCGAAGCAGCTCCAGGCTCTGAGCTGGCCGTCAGCATAGAGCCCGGCACAGGGCCAGAACCCATGAGTCGTGAGATCATGACCTGAGCCGAAGTTGGACGCTTAACCGACTGAGCCACCCAGGCGCCCCTACAAATTCATTGTTTAATGAAACACAAATAGGGGTGCCTGAGTGGCTCAGATAGCCAGCAGGCAACTCTTGACCTCGGAGCTGGTGAGTTCAAGCCCCAGGTTGGGTGTAGAGGTTACTTAAATAAATAAAACTAATGATATAAAAAAACCTCGCAGGGGCACCTGGGTGGCTCAGTAGGTTGGGCGTCTGACTTCAGCTCAGGTCATGATCTTGTGATCCGTGGGTTCAAGCCCCACATCGGGCTCTGTGCTGACAGTTCGAAACCCGGAGCCTGCTTCAGCTTCTGTGTCTCCTTCTCTCTCTCTGCCCCTCCCCTGCTGGTGTGCTCTCTCTCTCTCTCCTTCTCTATCAAAACAAAAACAAAAAACAAAACCTCACAAATATAAAAAAAAATGAAACTTTCAACTTTTCCTACTCTCTGAAGATAAACACTGTTCCTTTTCCTCCCCCCTCTCTTCCGTACACACACACATACGAACACTCACACATTTGCTTTCGAACTATGTTCATTCATTTATATACACCATGCTATTTACACAGAGTAACCCACCTATTGATTTTTAGTTTAATGGTTAAAACTAAAAAAGAAAAGAAAAAAACAAACGCAACCACAAGGTTTTTTGTGGGTATTTATTTTTGTAGGTTGGATCTGGGAGCGGGTGGGTGGGGAGACCCCAGGTGCTCACAGCAAGGGATCCTCAGAGCCTGAACCAGGTTCAGTTCTTGGGGAGGCTGAACCTCGGAGCCAGGAATGGGAAATGCTCCCCTGGTGTAGAGAAGACTTTGGGGTCCTAGGGAGGTAAAGGGAGTCTTCTCTTCAGGAAGCAGGACGTATCAGTGCTTTGGTGTGAAGTTTGAATATCCTGGGACAATGTTAGAAGATACAGTGCCTCAAACAGCCTCCGGGCTGACCTCACCTGCTGAGCTGTTGGCTGGGCTTTGGAAGAGCTGTCTGCTCTCCAGGGACACCCCATTCCTGAGGACAAAGGGGCATAAAGTGTCACAACCATCATCCAGTGCCAATGATGCTAAAAGATTGCACTTTTTTTTTTTTTTTTTAATGCTTATCTGTTTATTTGGAGACCGAGAGCATGAGTAGGGGAGGGACAGAGAGGGAGGGGGAGAGCGAGAATCCCAAGCAGGCTCTGCACTGTCAGCACAGAGCCCCACGCAGGGCTTGAACCCATGAACTATGAGATCATGACCTGAGCCGAGGCCAGACGCTTACCCGCCTGAGCCCCTCAGGAGCTCCTGGAAGATCAGTTTTGAACGACGGTTTTGAATCAGTGCTTCTTTCCACAGCGATAGGACTTAGCCAGGGCCATTCCCTTCCTACCTTCGATGTCCCTCTCGTGTCCTGGGCTTCCCTCAATTTTTGGTCCCGGGGATTTGACTTAGACCCTGAATTCCTACCGGCCCTGTTTCCCCCAGCTAGCCTCATCTCTCACTTTTCAAACCTGCTTCGTGGAAAACCCCTCAAGCTTTACTTCCCACGTGGGGGGATGCACACGCCACCTTGTGCAGAACCCAGGTGTCTCAGGTGAAACAGCTAGCCTTAGCCCCATGCCTGGGAAATGACACCGGGTCCTTCCCTGTCATCTTAGCTCATGGGAGACTCATCCTTCCTGTCAGCCTTTAGGATTTCTCGCCTGAATCCAGAACGTCCCTGGCTTTTCTGTTCGTACCACGTCTCTGCTCATGCTGTCTGTCCCTCCAGCCCAACCATGTTGGAATCGTGTGCTGAGGAGGAAAAACTTCTATCCTCCTAGGTAGTACCTTGGGGGACTGCAAATCAAAGTGACAAGACAGAATAGCAAGAAAAATGGATTTGTAGTTATGGATGTACATGGGAGTTAACAGAAAAATGTGGCTCTAAGAGGTGGTCAGAATTTGGGGGCACCCGGGTGGCTCAGTTGTTTAAGCATCTGATTCCTGATCTCAGCTCAGGTCTTGATCTCTGGGTTGTGAGTTCGAGCCCCTCACTGGGCTCCACGTACTGGGCATGAAGTCTACCTAAAAAATGGGGGGGCTTATTTACCAGCTTAATAGGGCATGGGGGTTGCAGAGAGGGCACTTAGGGAAACAAAGGACTTTGGAAAGATTAGTGATCTTTAGGAAAATAGGAGAGAACAAAGGACGTTGGAAAGAAAATATTTCCTAGGAAAATAGATGGGAGATAGGAGAGTGACAGTGTCTTTTTGTTTTTTGGGGGTGTTTTTGTTTTTCAGAGAAGAGTTAGAGTAATTCATGACAACTGAGTTCTTTTAGGAGGCTCCACTTTTAGACAGACCAGGGATTTCAGGGACTTCTGTGTCTTCAGGTATTGCATTGTTATGTGGCAATGGCTTCCTCTGGACCCTTTCACAGAGACCTCACATTTCTGTCATTCCCCACCTCAAGCCTTTCATGGGGTCCCCAGTCACCTCCAGGTGCTGCTCAAGTTTTTTATGGACTCACTGCCTGAGCACTTGGCCTCTGACCTGTCGTCCCCAAGTCAAGTGCCCCATGCATGTATGCTTAGCCCTCTCTGGTACTTTATAGATAGTTCATGCCTTTTCTAATTCTGTGACAAAGTACGTGAAGTCTGACCCCAGTGAACTCAAAGCACCAAGTGAGAACCTAAATTCACCCTGCTTCGCAGTGGCGGGTGAGGAGGCCTTTCATGGCGGGGGCGGGGGTGGACAGTGCAATGGGCTACACAGTCACTGGGTTTTGCAAGGTGACTCTTCTCAGCCCTGAGGGAAACAGGAAATGCCATGGTCACTCTGTGATGTCCAGACTGGAAAAGTTCCAGGCATGTTGTTACAGAATTCGCGATACCCGTTCTCTGTGGGAGGGGAAAATGTCCAGTGTGCTCGACGATTTTCCATCAGCAAAACAATTTAAAAAACGGTCATCGGAAATCAATCTTCGCTGAATTCTAAGAATGACATCTCTTTGTGAAACTGCGTGGCGGGGGGCGGGGGAGGGGGGCAGGTGATGGTGCTTGAAAATCAGTGCACCTGGCACTTTCAGGTGTGTGTTCCCCTCTGTGGCCGAGAGAGGGTCCCGGGGAGGCCTCCGACGGGGTTTTACGTTGTGAGCTAGAGTTCAGGGCACCGAGGTGGACGCTGGGTGGTGGGGACCCTGCGCACAGGAGTGTCTCCTCTTCTACCCCGAACCCCTGCTGGGCTGAGCTCTGGCCTCCGTGCTGTGGACCAGGACACTCACGGACTGGCCCCGTTTGCTGATTCCTTTGAAGGTCAGAAAACATAATGTAGCTTTGCGCATATTCTTGAAAACCTCTGAGATGCAGGCATAGCGCTGGGTCCCTGAATAGTGATTCCCTCTTTCCTTCTCTTTCCCAGTGTCTTCTTTCACCTGAAGCCTGCTCGCCACACTGCCCATTCACCTGCCCTTCACCTGCGGCTGCTAGAAGAATCCAGGTGAGTGGGAAACCGCTCCTGGAGGTGGATTGGCTCCTGGTTTCCACCCTCCGCTCTGGCTGGTCTAGAGAGAAGGCTCTTGGGAAGTGAGACACCCCCTTTACCTCCTCCTGGCTTTGACCTTTCTGTGGGCAGGTGGGGGCGATGGGGTTTTGGGGTGATGGTGGGGTTTGGAGCTGATGGCCAAGAATGAATTCTTGAAGACGTCTTTGGTGCAAAAAGGCGATTTTATGAGAGCCCGGGGACAGGACCCGCGGGCAGAGAGAGCCGCACTGGGCTTGGGAGGAGGGACTGGATGTACACTGTGGAGTCAGGGGAGGTAAAGGCAGAGCGAGGCCTCCAGAAGGACCTTGATGTGCTGACGAGGGGATGTGAGGGCTCACAGCATCCCCGAGGCCTTGCTGTCCTCAGGGTAAGGCTGTTTCCCTCTAGGAAGGCAGAAACATTCCTGGAGAAATGTTCTGTTCTACCGTGCTTGCCTGAGTATCTGTCAATGGGCTGCAGGTTACAAGGAAATATAATGGTACCATATGCCATTTCCTTCCGGCCTTTGTTCCCATATCACTGTGGAGGGGGGGTGATGCTGGGGCCCCAGGAAACTGGGGTTTCTGGAGTCTATAGGTTTCTGGAGACGAGGCTATGGATAAGATTGCTTTTTTCTTCTAATTTCCTAAGACATTTGTAAACTCATGGAGATTCCTATCCTGTATGACTGTGATCTCTGTCCATTAACCATTTGTTTCTTTTTCCTTTCCTTTGTCCTTGGGCAGCGGGGAGTGCCTGAGGAATGTCAGACATCCTACCTGGGGCAGGGAGGGGGTGTGTTAGTTTGACTTATGCTCCCTCATCAGGGGTGATGGCAACAAGGGTTCAGAGCCAAAAGGCAAGAAAGAATTCTTGGGGGCGCCTGGGTGGCTTAGTCGGTTAAGCGTCCGACTTTTGCTTAGGTCATGATCTCGCGGTTCGTGGGTTCGAGCCCGGCGTCGGGCTCTGTGCTGACTGGCAGCTCAGAGCCTGGAGGCTGTTTCAGTCTGTAACTACCTCTCTCTCTGACCCTCCCCTGCTCACGCTGTCTCTCTCTCTCCTAGAAATAAATAAAACATTAAAAAAAAAAAGAAAGAATTCTTGAAGACCAGACGTCTTTGGTGCAGAAAGGTGATTTTATTAAAGCACAGGGAAATAAACCCCATATAACAGGGAAAGATAGGATAAAATAGGCAGAGAGGGAAAGGTTTAGGACCTGAGGTCCCTGGGTGGGAAAAACATGTATTTCGGAACAATGCTGGGAGCCGTTGACTACAGCAGACCCCCTTGGGGGCGTAGAGTCCCTCTTAAGAATGTAACAGACCCCACCTACTCCCCCTCAGGTCCCCCTCAGGACTCTGACCATCAAAATATGGAGCTAAACCATAAAACCTGTGTTATATGTGGGACAGCATGACCAGTTTGACTCGACACACAATCAGGGAGGGACACGTCAGCACCCGGAGCTGTCCAGCCAGTAGGGGTGGGGCCTGAGGAGGGACGAGGGGAGGGAAGGGGTGCTGACCAGAACCTTGTCGAACAAGGACCCCTGCCTATAGCGGCACGTGTGATGAAGCATCTTACTCTTCTTCCTCCCTGACCTTATACTCTAATAAACTTGTGTCTGCTCATTCTGTGGCCACCCCTTCATTCTTCAAAGCGGGGAGACAACGGATCCCGGGTGCTGAGGTACAAAGTCCCGCAACACGTGGGCAGGCAGAGCTGCACTGGGGTCGTGACTGGTAACTCATTACAGGCCTCAGGTTGGCGGGGGGTGGGGGGGTGGGGGGGAGGGGGCAGGGATAGTCAGTCCAAGGAATTTTGGAAACAAGGTTTCCAGGACCTTGAGGGCCAGCTGTTATTAGGGAAATGTCATTTCTTACCATTTAGTGAAACCTCAGTCATGGGACTCCTCGATGTATATTAGGGGCCTTAAGCCTGGAGTATGACGGCCACATATGTCCTGGGGCAGCGGAGATAAAGGAAGTTTCTAAAGAATTTTTATATGTTAAAGTAGACTCACGAGGTCCCCGGGGGTCAGGATAGTTGAGCCAAGATTCCCTTCTGCCCCCAGCAAAGTGTCATCAGGAGGCAGGTGAGCTCCCAGAGGGAGCTCACTCTGCCCGTTTCAGGGACTTGTCACTGGGCCGTAGGATGTAAGGGAGTTGGATTTTTCATTCGCCTCTGTTTCCCACGTCACCCTTCCATCCTGATGCGGTGATATTAGGGCTCCAGGAAACAGAGTCTACAGGTTTCTAGGGTTCAGGCTCTGGATAAGATTGCCTTTTTCTTAGAGTTTACCAAGTTCTCCGTACACTGAAGGAGACTCCTGTCCAGCGTGACTGTGATCTCCATCAGCCAACCAGCTGCTTTCTTTCCTCTCATTGGCAACCAGGAGTGTCCCAGGAATGTCACACGCATCCCACCTGGTCGGGGGGCAGGTGCTATTAGCCTGTACTTGGTCCCCGGCATGCCCCACACGCCCCCATCAGGGGGACCCTACAATGTATAGTTGAACCCCCCATCCCCCACCCGCGTGCAAACCCGCACACACAGCCGCTCTGCTCCTGAGTGACCTCGGGGGAGCAGGGGATTTTCCAACCAGAGCAACACAAAAGTCTGCCTTTTTCTGCACACCAAGTTGCTTAAATCTTTTGCCAAGTGCTGGGCGGGGTCATGGGGAGGCTCACGGCCTGGAAGGGGGGGCCTGCGAGCACTAAGGGGGCCTGGGAAAGTGGCCCCCCCATGGACTCAGGGGGCGCTGAGGTCTGGGGCAGCAGACTGGGCAGGGAGGTGATGTCTCTGGTTCCGAGGCGAGAAAAGCAAGCGGGCGTGGAGAGTGGCACTCTCTCTGCGGCTTGGTTTCCTTTCCTGGATTCTGTCTGCTGCCTCCCAGGAGGGCACTTCTAACTCTTCCTCTTTCAATTCTCTGTCTGCTGCCTGGCTCCCCAGCCGCAGAGGAACAATTAGCATCTTGGAGGGGGCAGGTTGTTGGGGGGCAGGAGTACCTACTGCTCTCACAGGGGACACTGCCAGCCAGACAGGCGCTGGCCCTGGGGGCGCAGATCTCCAGCCACACTTCTCCCCGTGGAGTGAGGGCCCCCAGGGCAGGGGAGCGGACCCCGGGGGCTGTCTGGGGCCAGTCTCTGCAGGGTCCTGCTGATGGTTGCATTTCCTGGAGACCAGACCTCTGCGGAAGCGCGGCCGTCTGTGTAAATCTGTTTGATGGATACTGTGCATGTGTGGAATCAGGAGCAAAAATGCTGGTCAGCGATTACAATTCTGATGCGTGCGTGGGCTTCTGGCCACTAATTCTCCGAGGCCACCGGGGCGCCAGCAGGGCGTCAGAGAATTCAACTCACTTCAGATACCATCTACCCGGATAGGCAGCGTGAGACCCCCCAGGCTGAGAGCTCAGTCTCCCGGCGCGGCCCCTCCCCCACCCCAGACGCCAGTCCACGTGTCACCTGGGTTCTGACCGACCAGCTACAGACTAGAGGCGCCTACGACCCTTCCCTGGGTTTGGCGAATTGGCTGGAGCGGCTCACAGGACTCGGGGGACAGATCACTCACTAGATCACTGGTCTGTGATAAAAGGATGTAACTCAGGAACAGAGGGAAGAGAGAGCTGCCCAGGACATGGTCTGGGGAGGGGGCGCCCAGCTCCCACCCCTCCCAGAACCCGCTGTCCCTCCATCTCCACATGCTCACCAGCTGAGAAGCTCTTGAGACCTTGTCTGTCGGGGTTTTGTGGGTGTTTCATCACAAGGACATGATTGATGAAGTCATTGGCCATTGGTGATTGATTCTGGCAGGCCCCTCCAGAACCGCCTGAGGTGAGGGGTGGGACTGAATGGTTCAACCTCGAATCAAGCGATTGGTTTCCCTGGCAACCAGCCCCCATTCTCTGGGGCCTTGCAAACAGCACCTCATTAACATAACAAGAGACCCCTTAACTGCTCACCACTCTAGGAAAAGGAAGAAGGCCAAATACAGCTGACCCTTGAACAGCAGGGGTTTGACCTGTGCAAATCCACTTACCTGTGGATTTTTTGGGACAAATACAGAAAGTACTGTAATTGTGTTTTCTCTTCTTTATGATGGTTTCAATGACATTTTCTTTTCTCCAACTTTAAGAGTATCGTATATGATACATAAAATATACAAAATCTGTGCTCATCAACCATTTATGTTTTCCTGAAGGCTTCTAGTCAGCAGCAAGCTATGAGTAGCAGTTAAGTCTCTGAGGAATCTAAAGTCAGAAGTCAGTCAGGTTTTCCATCGCACACTCTGTCTGCTGCCCTAACCCCCTGCGTTGTTCTGGGCTCAACTGTATATACCTGTTTCTCTTAAAACTGCAAGTTACTTTACCAGTAACAGGTGGGCTTATTCGGGAATAAAGTGTAAAACTAGCCAAGCAGCACAGACTTGCCAAAGCACGTGACCAGTTTGGGCTGGCCCCAGCGACATGCGTGTGGGTCTATTGCTACAAATCCGAGAGCAGGTTGGAAAGTTTGAATAACTATGTGCAGTTCTCTAGCAAACCTGTGGGGGTCCGCGGCTGCTTTAGAGAGCTCTTCAACTCTGGCTCCAAGTTCAGCCTTAGTCTGGGGACCATTTAGATCCTCAGAAGACTTAACTTTGAAGGAGCGGGTTTTATAGGCTCAGGAGAGGGGAATGCACGGGGAGCACCAGGAGAACAGAAAGGCAAAAAAGATGAGAAGGAGAAGGGGAGACGGGCAGGTGCAGAGAGAACAGGGGAAGGCAGCTCCGGGGCAGAGAAGTGGGGGAGGGGAACAAGAGGCATCAGCCCCCCGCCCCCTTCTTTCCTTTTTAATGGTTTGTTTGCCTCCTTCAGTTTATAAATTGTATTTTGGAGTGAGGCAATTTTAGACCCTGGACAGCGCTTGGAAGCTTCAAAATACCAATCGAAATGGGAGCCCCACTTAGTGTTGTCAATTTTAGGGCCATGGTTGTCCATTTCAGCTTTGAGAAAATGAAGTTTGGGGAGATGGAACGTTCCCCATCATGGCCATCGAAGTTCTGAATTACTCCTCGATAAGTCAGCTCATTTATTTATAAATGTGCATGCAGAGGGACCATAGGGTTATTTATTTATTTGAGAGAGAAAGAGAGAGAGAGTACATAAGCTGGGGAGGGCCAGAGAGAGGAGGGGGACAGAGGATCCAAAGTGAGCTCCACGCTGTCAGCACAGAATTCACGATCCGTGGGGCTTGAATTCACAAACCGTGAGATCATGACCTGAGCTGAAGTTTGGATACTCAACCGACTGAGCCACCCAGGCACCCCGGGACCATAGTTTAAAAAATTTTTTTTTGTATTTATTTAGTATTGAGAGACAGAGAGAGACAGAGCATGAATGGGGGAGGGGCAGGGAGACACAGAATCTGAAGCAGGCTCCAGGCTCTGAGCTGTCGCACAGGGCCCGACGTGGGGCCCAAACCCACGAACCATGAGATCATGACCTGAGCTAAAGCTGGATGCTCAACTGGCTGAGCCACCCAGGAGCCCCAGGACCCTAGTTTTTATTTAAAATTTTTTTTAATGTTTTATTTATTTCTAGGAGAGAGAGAGAGAGAGAGAGAGAGAACGTGAGCAGGGGAGGGTCAGAGAGAGAGGGAGTGACAGACTCCGAAATAGGCTCCAGGCTCTGAGCTGGCAGTCAGCACAGAGCCCGATGCAGGGCTCGAACCCACGCACCGCGAGATCATGACCTAAGCGAAAGTCGGACGCTCAACGGACTAAGCCTCCCAGGTGCCCCAGGAGCCTAGTTTTTAAACATAGAACTGCCAGACTCCTGGTAGCAGGGAGTACCCTCAAAGCATTTTGACACCTGGGATCCTATTCATTTGAGGCTTTTCAGGAACAGCCTGGCTCCAGAAGGAATCAGATGGAGGGACAAAGGAATACGCTCAGAGGTGCTTAGAAAGAAAAAAAGTTAACGCCGTGGTGATGTTTGAAGAGCTTGGACACAAAGCACAGAGCTCAGAATCCAGGAGAGCTAGCGCCTGCAACCCCAGGGTGGGTGAGAAAGTCGTGGGCCCCAAAGGGCCGTGGGTACCCCGCCTGCCTGCTCCCACCAGTGACCACCAAGCGATGTTAACTTTACACAGTAGACACTGTCGGTTATTTCCCAGCAACAGATGGGTTTATCCGGGAAGGAAAGCGAGTTATAAGCCAGGACGCGGTGACTGGGCTAAAAACCATAGGCAGATCGGGGAACCAGAGGAGAGGCCCGAGTTTTAAGGAGAGAGCGGGTCAGTTGGAGGCTGTTATGAACATAAAACCCCTTGGAGTAAACGAGTCGGAAATGGAGTGGTACCTCACGGTCTCTGGGTTTCAGGACTTGCCAAAAATGGTCAGTATATTCACACTGGTGATAACGGTTATCAACCACTTTCTCCAGGAAGGCCTTTGGGGGTCTATGTAGGTAGGCTCTGGTTTTCTGATCTGTGGCTGGTGAGCTGGCCGACAGAGCAGGCTCTTTTCTCCGGCTTCATGACCCCTCGGGTGTTGGGTTAACCTGGCCTCACCTTCCTGTCCCTAAGGCAGGACGTGGGGCTTTAGTAACCGAGTTCGCCTACACGCTCGCTGTCCACCTCTGCGCCTCTTTATCAGAGAAGGTGGTGTGGTTTTCGGTCAGTGTTGCAATCACCCAGCCCCAGTAACATAACGCGGCCACGCCCGTGACTTCTACCCCTGGCTTTAGGGTGGTGGCAAGATGGGGCTGACTTGCGCCGGGTTCTCTCCTTCCTTGGAAGGCGCCGGAAATTCCACTGTTCAGACCTCTCCCTGACCCCTGCCTCCCTCCTGGGCTGTCCTTGATCCCTGAGATCCCACAGGGGTGGGCAGCCGGGAGTGGTCTGTGGGGCCAGGCTGGGAAACCGGACGTGGTGCCTGCCCGCCATGGCCTCTGGTGTGTTTCTGCTAGCTGCTCGGAAATTAGCAACCCTGTAGGTCGCATAACACACATGGGACGTGCTGTGAGTGTGCACAGAGTTCTAGCTGGTCGCACCGGGCTTCCGCAGGCCAGCGAGGCCGGGCCGACAGCCCCAGTGCCCTGCATTCCTACTGTGCGGGGGGGCGGGGGGGGGAGGGGGGGGAGGCCCACTGTTAAGTCAATTACACGAATTAGGCTGTTGGACTGAGGTGTCAGATCTGATGCCGAGGTGGAGGTCTGGAGGCTGGAGGTTGGCGGACCCAAGTGTGAGCCTGTCAACGGCTCGAGGGAGTCAAGTTAAATCACTGAGAAGGAGCGCTGGCAAACGGCTGGCCAGGCTTTACGCTTGATCCACCTATGCCTTCCTGACTCTGCGTCCGCACCTGCTCCCTATGATTCTCTCCTGGGTCCTGACGACGCATTCCTGACAACTTCCATTCTGGCACTGCCCCGTTCCAGTAGATTTTTGCCAAATCAGCTCTTAAGAGTTTTTATATGCCTGACTCTTTTAAAATAACATTCTGGGGGCGCCTGGGTGGCTCAGTCAGTTGAGTGTCCGGCCTCGGCTCAGGTCATAATCTCGCGGTTCGTGGGTTCGAGCCCCGCATTGGGCTCTGTGCTGACAGCTCAGAGCTGGATCCTGCTTCGGATTCCGTGTCTCCCTCTCTCCCTGGCCCTCCCATGATCATGCTCTGTCTCTTTGTCTCTATCTCTCAAAAATAAATACACATTTAAAAAAATTTTTTTTAAAAATAACGTCCTGTGGTGTTTTTTCATAGGGTCCTGCCCCGCTGAGAGAATGGCTTCCTCTGGACTCCAAACAAAGAAAGGTGCCAATCACAAGTAAGGTTCCAGCCGACCGCAGGCTGGGTTCGATGTTTGGGTTTATGGTGATTACTTTGTGACGTGTTTTTCCGAGAGCCACCCACCACGTTTGGTTCTGGTGGCAGAGACTGGGACCGAGATGGTAAAAGCCCCGGTGCGGTGTCTGGTGTCGGCGTGTGGGCAGCTCCGTGCTCAGAAGGCTCCCGCAGGGCCCCTCTGCTGCCCCTCCGGAAACACGGCCCCCGCTTGTCTCCCGGCCCTGTTAGGGTTCATCTTAAATACTTTCTTTACAGTGTCCCATAATTCCGGTTGGTGATCCTGACGGCCCCTCTTCTATGTCTATTTATGCATTGGCGGCCAAGGGACAATTTTCTTGCCTTAATCCTGATTCCTACATGGGCTTGAATCCAACACTATTTTGGTTTCCTCGTTCCCCTTGATGTCCCGCATCTCTGCTGGGGTTCCCTGGGGGAGCCCTGGAGCTGGGCTCAAGGGCCATGGACAGGACCCAGCTGGAGTGGCAGCTGTGGTGTCAGGAGCTCGAAGGCTCCCTCATGCAGCCTCTTATGGAAAACATTAATCTTCAAGTGAGCCCATAAGTTGAGGAGAGGGTACTGCTAGAACCCAGCCTCTGCGGCAGTCGTGAGCGGGAAGTAGATTTTTATGCACGAGCTATTCGATTTTTTAAAATTTATGTTTATTTTTGAGAGAGAGTGGGGGAGAAGGCACGAGCAGAGGAGGGCCAGAGAGAGAGGGAGACACAGAATCCGGAGCAGGCTCCATATTGACAGCAGAGAACCCCGGCTTAGGACCTGATCCCACAAACTGTGAGATCATGACCTGAGCCGAAATCAAGGGTCAGGTGCTCAACCGACTGAGCCACCCAGGTGCTCCATGCGTGAGCTATTGGTACATTTCTACTGCAGAGCTGAGTGCCTCCCAGGTACTAATGCTTGTATTTGTGCCCAGCGCAAGGCCTGATGGGTGGCTGGGATCGGGTCTGGCTGGCTGCCCTGAGCTCTCCCTTCTCCACCCACCCCCTGCCCTAGACTCCCTTCCTCATCCCTTCTAGTCCCTGAGCACCTGTCCCAAGGCACCGGGCAGCTCATAGAATCAGCCCATTCACATCCATTTTGCATTTCCTTTATGGCTCCATGAACAGTTGTTAAAGGAGTAAAGTGACAAAGCCAGATGAAGTGACTGGAAATTGTGTGTGGAGGAGAGAACTAGTTTTCCAAGTAATGTCTTTGGTGTGTTGTTTTAAAATCTTTTAAAAAGTAAGTTCGGGGGGCGCCTGGGTGGCTTAGTCGGTTAAGCGTCCGACTTTCGCTTAGGTCATGATCTCGCAGTTCGTGGGTTCGAGCCCCGCGTCGGGCTCTGTGCTGACAGCTCAGAGCCTGGAGCCTATTTCAGAGTCTGTATCTCCCTCTCTATCTGACCCTCCCCTGCTCACTCTCTCTCTCTCTCTCTCTCCTAGAAATAAATAAAAATATTAAAAAAAAAAAGTAAGTTCGGACACCGTCTGGTTCATTACGGTCTGTGCCTGACTTATCTATTTTAGAAGCATTACAGGGGCGCCTGGGGGCTCAGTCGGTTAAGCATCCGACCTGGGCTCAGGTCATGATCTCACGGTTTGTGGGTTCAAACCCCATGTTGGGCTTTGTGCTGACAGCTTGGAGCCTGGAGCTGCTTCTGATTCTGTGTCTCCCTCTCTCTCTGCCCCTCCCCCACTTGCTCTCTGGACCTCTTTCTCTCAAAAAAATAAAAACATAAACAATTTTAAAAAATATAAAAGCATTGCTGTTTTTCATAGTTATGTCTTATTTCCTTCTCCTTCTCTTCCTGGAACCAGAGAGGGGGGAAAAAGTCCCATTTTGAAATATGTGGCAAAGTTGTGTTAATCACATCCTGTTGCATCAGTGCTGACGCTTGCCGGTCCGCCCTTCTGCTGGGCCCTCTGTGGGCACATAACGCCCTGAAAACATGTAGCAGCCGTCATGTCAGCAGTGATGATTGTCATCAGAGGAGCTTAGGAAGCCATGACTGCATGAAGGTGTCAGAATTTCTGCAGCAGCCGCGTACTCTGTAAAGAGGGGGGCAAGGCTGTGCGCCGACAAAACCTTTTCAGTGGGACTCCGGCTGGGTCCGCCCCGCAGGCTGCAGGTGCTGTCGTGGCCTGGATGCTGGGCCCTTCTCTGTCTTACCGCAGTTACTACTGTACTGTGGTTGTGTTCGCTGTCATCCAGTTTCCTTACTCGATTTTGGGCATCTTGGAAAGTGCCTTATGGCAGCCTCTCCGGTCCAGCAGAGTGATTGGTACACGCAGGAACTCATGACTTAGTTATACCAGTTTATGGATAGCTTGCTCTCCCAGGAAGTCACCCATGTGGTCACACCCTAAGCCAAAATCAATACAGTCAGACCTTGGTTTGCGAGCATAATTCGTCCCGGAAACACCTGTGATCCAAAGTGCTTGTATATCAAAGTGAATTTCCCCATAAGAAATAATGGAAACTCAGATGGTTCATTCTACAACCCAAAAATGTTCCTATAAAAATGATTCCAGCACTGTAATATAATGCAGCACAATAAAGAAAATACAAAATATAAAGAAAAAACAAGTTAACCTGCACTTACCTTTGAAAACCTTGGTGGCTGGTGTGAGGGAGACCAGAGAGAGGAGGGTTATTGTGTAGGATGACCTTCATCATTACAAACCGAATCATTGCTATCTGTTGGTCTCATGGAATCTTTATCTGCATGAGGACCATTGTGCACGCACACACGGATGTTGACTATAGTACACTATTAATAAACTCTTGTCATATACTATATTCACTGTAACTGGCAAGAAGGCGGCAGAAGAAAGGGTCTCTATCTGCAGGCAGCCTGACCTAGAATGAAGCAAGCATTTCTAAGCTCACTCTTGGATGGAAAAGCCAAGGACTGTCCATAGTTGCTTGGAAGTGACAAAAATATACTAATACCAATTGTTGGCACCTTCCAATGTTCTGAAAAATCACTGATTTCTGCTAAACACTGTAGCTTGAGACCAAGCATCTGAGCATGGGAGACTATCACTCACAATCCCGAAGCAGAGAGAGAGAGAGAGAGAGAGAGAGAGAGAGAGAAGTACCATTGGTCAGTTGTGATCATGTGACATTTGGCGTCACGTACAATTTGTATTGCAGGACATGGATTGTTTATCAAGTTAAAATTCTTAGAAATGTTTGTTTGTCAGGGTGTCTGAGTGGCTCAGTCAGTTAGACGGCCGACTTTGGCTCTGGTCATGATCTCATAGTTCACAGGTTCAAGCCTGCTTCAGATTCTGTGCCCTTACCCCTCTTGCAGTCTGTCTCTTTCTTTGGCTCTCAAAAAATAAATAAAATGTAGAAAAAAGAAAAAGGAAAAAAAGAAACAATAATGTGAGCCACACACACTTTCAAGTGGCCACACTGAAAAGAAAACCGAAATGGAAAGATGTCTTCTGTCATCCCTCACACTGGACATTGCACAGGAGTAGCACTGGCTAATGCAATAAGACAAGAAAAATTAAACCCAGGGTGTACGGGTTGGAAAGGTTATCTCTGGAAGGGAAAACAAGAAGCATTTTTTTTCTTTTTTCTTCTACTTCCATCCATAATTCCTATGTGAACATATTATTTTGACAATAAAGCCAAGTTTAGGTGTCAGATAAACTTGGGCTGGGTAGCATCTGGCTGTACCTTCTATGGGGTGATTCAGCATTTTGATCTTTGTACTTTCTTGTGCTCTTCTGAGTTCATTCTGATTACCCTCCAAACAGGGACCGGGGGAGTGGGGAGGGGATGTGGGGAAGGAGGAGGGGGCAGAATGGCCACAGGGAGGCGGCAGCACTTAGGGTGCTAGGGTGCCCCACCTTACCGACACGGGGTGCCCCTGTTCTCATTTTGGCCACTGGGTGCTGGTGCTCTCTCAACCTTTCGCCTTTCTGTTTCATGGCAGTGGTCACTTTGTACAACCTACCAACCCAAATGTAGCAGCATTGCAAGAAGATGTCCTCTACCACTTCCATCTCAGCACCAGCACGCACGATCTCCCGGCGATGTTCGGAGATGTGAAGGTAAAAGGCAGGACTTTTGATTCTAGGGGTTTGTCTTCGGATCACTCTCCTCATAGGTGATATGGGCACAGAGGACAAGGTCATCCAGTTATATATTCACCAGATTTTTGCAAATCGTTGGTTTTAAACTAAGTAACCTAATGAGTTTACGAAGGAAATCTCCTAAGTTCTGCCATATTGGTCCCTAAATAATCTCTTACAAATTCAGTGTGTAGTGGGAACCATATAAAATAGATTTCCTAATGCTCCACTGGGAGAAAAGGAAAAAGGAATCACGGAACATTCTGTAGGGCAACAGGGAGGAGAGCAAATGCGTGATTACATGTGTCTCTTTGTAATTTAAAGGGCGTGTCTTTTCTTCCTTTTATGGCTTATTTGGCTGAAGGCAACTTCCAGTCCATTTTCCCCACAAAGTCCTGAGTTCCTCCGTGCTGGTTTACCTTGGTACAAGACTTTTGGAATGTCCGATACCTGCGGGTAAAGATGGACTAATGTTTAGATTCAAAATCAAAACAGCAAATGACTCAAAATTTCCTTGATTCTCCATGGGTCTGTCTTACCGGCCACAGTGTTCTCTTCCAACTGAGACAACTCTCCGTGTGTTCATTTCTTTCTTTCTTTCTTTTTTTTTTTTAAGAAAGATTTACTCGGGTTGCTTATAACTAATTGGGGTATAATTGACATACTGTGTTAAATTAGCTTCAGGTACACAATACAATGATTCAACAATACTGCACCTTGCTCAGTGCTCGTCATGATAATGTGATCATCATTTGTCACCAATGTTATTTCCATCCTGTTGAGGACATTCCCTATGCTGTACTTTTCATCTCCATGACTCACTTCTTTCGTAACTGAAAGTATGTGCCTCTTAATCCTTCTTATCTCTTTCCCCATCCCCCTAGCCTCTGGCAGCCACCAGTTTGTTCTCTGTATTGAGTCTGTTTTTTTGTTGGTCTCTTTTTTCTTAATCAGTTAGCCTTTTTCTTTTAAATTTATTTCTGAGAGAGAGAGACACAGCGTGAGCAGGGGAGGGTCAGAGAGAGAGGGAGTCACAGAGTCTGAAACAGGCTCCAGGCTCTGAGCTGGCAGTCAGCACAGAGCCCGACGCGGGGCTCGAACCCACGAACCGCGAGATCATGACCTAAGCGAAAGTCGGACGCTTAACCGACTAAGCCATCCAGACGCCCCAATTAGCTTTGTTTCTTAAATTCCACATGTGAGTGAAATCATACGTGTTTATTTTTCTCTGACTGACTTGTTTCACTCAGTGTTATACTCTCTAACCTCTATGCATGTTGTTGCAAATGGCAAATCTCATTCTTTTTTAATACCTAGTACTACCCATTGTATGTATATGTATATGCATATGTGCATATATGTGTGTGTGTATATAATATATGTTGTGCATATGTGTGTATATTATATATATATATATATAATATTCTTTATCCATTCATCTATCCACGGACACTTGGGTTGCTTCTATGTAGTAGCTATTATAAGTAAATCCACCATAAATGTAAGGATACGTATAACTTTTTGAATTAGTGTTTTCATTTTCTTTGGGTAAATAGCCATTGGTAGAATTATTGGATCATATGACATTTGATATTTCTACTTTTAATTTTATTTTTTATTAAAGTACATTTATTTATTTGGAGAGAGAGTTTGAACAGGAGAGGGGCAGAGAGAGGGAGAGAGAGAATCCCAAGCAGGCTCCATGCTGTCAATGCAGAGCCTAACATGGGGCTCCATTTTGTGAACTGAGATCATGACCAGAGCTGAAACCAAGAAGAGCCAGAGCCCTAACCCTCTGAACTGTTCAGCTGTCCCCTATTTTTAACTGTTTGAGGAACTTCCATACTGTTTTCCGGAGTGGCTGCACCAGTTTGCATTCCCACTAACAGTGCACAAAGGTTCCCCTTTCTCCATATCCTCGCCAACCTTGTTCTTTCTCATGTCGTTGATTTCAGCCACTCTGACAGGTGTGAGGTGGTGTCTCCTCGTGGTTTTGATTTGCATTTCCCTGTTGATCAGTGATGTTGAGCATCTTTGCCTGTGTCTGTTGGCCATGTGGATGTCTTTGGAAAAGTGTCTCTTAAGGTCATTTTTTGAAATGGATTATTTTGTTTTTGTTTTTTTGCTGCTTTAAAATTTATTTTGAGTGAGAGAGAGAGAACACAAGGAGGGGAGCAGCAGAGAAAAAGAGGGAGAGAGAGAATCTCTGTGCAGGCTCTGCTTTGTCAGCACAGAGCCTCAAGCAGGGCTTGAACTCACAAACTATAGAGATCAAGAGCCAAATACTTAACCAACTGCACTAGTCAAGTGCCCCTAAAATGTTTTTGGTTTTTTTTTCTGTTGAGTTGTATAAATTCCTTATTGGTTGTGTCATTTGCAAATGTCTTCTCCCACTTAGGATCTTGCTTTGTCCTTTTGTTGATGTTTCCTTTGCCACGTGTCGTGCTCTTAATGTATTTGCTTTCCATGCATTTGAATTTAACCTATAACTTTTCTTTTTTTTCTGTTAATTTTTTAATGTTTTATTTATTTCTAAGAGAGTGGGGGACATAGCGTGAGCAGGGGAGGGTCAGAGAGAGAGGGAGACACAGACTCTGAAACAGGCTCCAGGCTCCGAGCTGTCAGCACAGAGCCCGACGCGGGTCTCGAACCCACGAACCGCGAGATCATGACCTGAGCCGAAGTCGGACGCTCAACCCACGGAGCCACCCAGGTGCCCCTAACCTGTAACTTTTCTAAGCTGTGGGAACTTCTTTTGTCATGTTTAGAAACTAATAATTCTTTCATCATCAAATGCCTTAAAACGGGCTCATTTACTTTTTCTTCTTGTGTAAAACAAAATGAAAAATAAGGCTGTGTATATAACACTTCACACGTTTTAGGTTTTACTTTTCTGAGAGCCATCCACCCACCTGATTTCTACTAGTTCCCGACTCCCACAGGGCCGGCCTGGCTCTTTCTTTGCTTTGGCCATTTGGCTCCTGGATGGCTGGGTGGGAGGTGTTGGTTAGAAGCCTGTTGTACAGATGGGCCAGGGCCCCGGTCGCACGGTGAGGCTCTGTCCAGGAACAAGCTAGCCATGCACATGGCGGACAGAGGCCGGGCAGGCATGGGCCCTGGATTTCCCTCCCCCGCCATAAGAGGATCTGGTTTCCCTGCATCGTGCAGACCGTGACCTGGTGCTTCTGCGTGAGCACCCAAATCGCCGGCCTCTGCATTACTCAAAAAGCACACGTAACTGGCCTCCCCAGACACAGGAGCCGTGGGGTGGGGCCAGAGGCCTTCTTTCCCAGCAGCATCTAGGTGACGGGGATGTCTGCGTCTGTGTAGCGCCATCTATGGGGTGCTCTGTGCCCCAGCTGATGGGGCTCTGTTCTCTGGCCTCAGTTCGTGTGCATCGGGGGAAGTCCCACCCGGATGGAAGCCTTCATCAAGTACATGGCCAAAGAGCTGGGCCTTGACCGCCCAGGCGCGGAATATCCCAACATGTGCGTGGGGACCGACCGCTACGTCATGTTCAAAGTGGGCCCCGTGCTGTCTGTCAGTGTGAGTACCCTGGGGCTCCACAAGCCTCCCCCCCACAGCCGCCCCTCCACCTGCTCTCCACGAACACGCAGGCCCATCCCGCGACACCTGTTTACGCAGTCAGGCGAGGGGCGGGGTGAGACTTCTATAGCAGCACAAACCGTCCAGAGCCACTCCAGTGTGTGAAGGGGGTGCTCAGTTCCAGATGACTCACGGAGGCATGAACTGTGTCCAGATGACCCACGGAGGCATGAACCGTGCAAGGTCACATGTGACCAACGCACGTACCAGGGCATGGCCCGCTTTGGGAACAGCGCTGGGGACGGGCTCTGTGGGAGACGTGGCACCAGGCAGGCCTCTGAAATAGGAGGCTAGTGAGGTGGCCGAGGGGCCAGCCGTTCATTACTTACGGTGGCCGAAGCAGAGAGCACAGGGAGAGAAGGAGGAGACACAAAACTGACAGTTGTGCGTGGCGCGGGCATCTGTCTGGTGTCTCTGGCCCGTGGAGATGCTCATTGCCTGGCGCTAAATACAGTAGCAGGCTGTTGCTTCCCTGCTGAGCTTCCATCCTCGGCTGCCAACTGCTTCACAGATGTGCAGGCCCAGCCGTGCCACTCCTTCATAGGAAGGTTTGCGTTCCCCAAAGTGTCAATAGTTTTAATTAATTTTATTTATTTTGAGAGAGAGAGCACAGGGAAGGGACAGAGAGAGAGGGGAATCCTAAGCAGGCTCTGCGTTGTCAGCACAGAGCCTGACTCAGGGCTCGAACTCACGGACTGTGAGATCATGACCTGAGCCAAGACCAAGAGTCGGATGCTCAACGCACAGAGCCACCCCGGCGCCCCAGTAGCTTTTGAGTTTATATTTGGAAGGTCATGTTGTCTTCCTGCGGGTGTGAAGCGCAAGGAGGGCGCACCGGCCCCGCCTCCCTGACGTAACACAGGCGTCTCTCCGGGGTTCTAGCATGGCATAGGCATCCCGTCCACCTCCATCATGCTGCACGAGCTCATCAAGCTTCTGTACCATGCCCGCTGCTCCGATGTCACCCTCATCCGCATCGGCACCTCGGGCGGGATCGGTGAGTGTGCAGAGGGCCTCTGTCTGGGGCCACCGCGCCTGCCACAGACCCAGTGTGGGGCGGGCTTGGGTACGAAGAGCTTTCTGCCCGGCTCTGTTCAAGGAAGCTCCGTGACAGGAGGCGTGAGGAGAAGCTTGTGCCATTTCTGGTTCCGCCGGCTGTCCAGGCCCTCTCCGCAGCAGTAGGGAGTGGAAAGGCCCTAAGCCCAGCATGTGCAGAACCTCATCTTTCCGGGACGGCCGTGGAGTCTGCTTGTCCGCCTGCCTCTCGCTGTGGCTTCTAACCGCTTCACTTCTGCCTCTCTCCTGCCCCCTGCGCTTCCCAATTCCTGCAAGGACTCAAGCACTTTAGGAGAAAACCGACGGGAAAATCAGAGAGAGACGGAACACAGTGTTCAGATAAGTGTCCTTAAGTTGCCTAAAGGATCCCCCGGCTGATCCTGACCACGTCTCGTTTTGTCTCTGAAAGCCACAAAGAGAGAACAGGATGTTATAAATTGAGAACAGGATGAACTCAAGGCCGAGTTCAGGGCCAAGGGCCCCCCGGACACATTTGCTTTATAGAAGCTGTTCGCTCTGTGACTTAGACATTCCTGTGCCTTGTGCCGGGTGGGGGTCTCCCTACCTGCACCCGCCCTGGGCTTGGAGCCACCCGGAGGAGCCCGTACCGGCTGTTACTGGCCCTGCCCATGTGCCTACACCTGGCCTCTCCTGGATTGATGGCACTTCTGGAATTTAGGTTTTCTGACTAGGGTGGAGACCGTCATAGACCCCATGTCTTCTGGATGCATCATCCCGTTTTCTCATGCATACCCACAGATTGCCACGTAAACACCAGAGCTTGCAAGATTGTAACCCCATGTTTAAGCTGTTCTCAGGGAAACGTACCGACGACTGAGCAGTGGTGGCCTTCAGCGGATGTAGTGTCTGGTGCCGTTCTCCAGATGGATACTCACAGCATGTGCACCTGGCACCACCATCTGCCAAAGACGCTAAAAGTCTGAGTTTCTGGGTCCTTGCTCTGGAAGAATTTTTACATTTGATGATCAGAGAGCATTGTGGAGCACGTGGTGTTGATTTTGCACCCGCTAAAATAGCCCCATAAAAACAGCCTCTAGAGAGCTGACCCCAGACCCCAGGTGACGTTGGTGACAAGGCATGGTGTGGCATCTCCGTGAATTCCAGCATAAGGGTGGTGGGTGGGTGCTACGGGCACCGCTCAGGAAGAAGCACAGAGCCACTGTAGGGCTTCTTGTGGTCGTGAGAACAGACCACCCCCGAAGTAGCCAGCAGGGACTCCGAGGAAGGGGGGGAGTTCACACGCCCCAGCTTGGGGGTGACACGGACCTCGGAAGGGGCACAAACTCCCCCGGCTAATGAAGGAAGGAGAGCTGTTGAGCACCCTTCAGTCTCAACCCCAGTGTGGGACCAGCTGCAGGGAGGAGGGTCTTGATGACCAGGAGGGACCAGAACATCACGGGAGAGAAAATCCAGAGACACATGCAGGGGTGCAGGACACACTGTGCTAAGCTTTCATGAAAACAGCTGCTCTGGGGGGGTCTAGAGCCATCCCTTGGCTTCTTCCTCTCTCCTTCCCAAATGTTTAGGAAACCCAATTTCCAGCTCCCGTAAGCATCAGGAAAGGCTCACGGTCAAATCCCACACAAAGTTATTGTAAGATCAAAGAATAAGAGAAGAATGTCCCTACAAGTAGGAAAATACCCCAGGAAGCATTTGACGTGGAACCTGGTAACACACGGATGAAAAGAAAACAGGATCGACTGGGAATTGGCCGTTGCTGGAGCTGGGTTTGGGGTGCACCAGGGTTCTTGTCTACTTTTGTAGTTCTTTGAAATTGTAAATAATGAGAAAACACGGAACAGGGACCAGTTCAGCACATTGTGGTCACCTGTGCAGTGGGGTGCCAGTTATAGAGTGGTGACTGGAAGGCAGGGCACATTAGGCAGGGACACGGGGCTCCTGGAGATCTCGTTTCTTTGCTCTTCTGTCTTCCGTATTCTCTGCCGTGCTTATGCCGTACCTCTGTCATCAGAAAAAGAATTTGATGCAGAAAATGGATCCTTAGTGACTTCCCTTTTAGAACCTTACAGGGTGTCCTGGTATTTTGGTGTGTAGATGTGTCATTTTCCTTTCTGCACGTGCTCTGCGGCGTCCTCCCTGTGTGCCCCATGTGGCTGCAAAGCCTGCTTCTCTCTCCAGGTTTGGAGCCTGGCTCTGTGGTCATCACCCGCCAGGCGGTGGATGCCTCCTTCCAGCCGGTGTTTGAGCAGATGGTCCTGGGGAAGCGGGTGGTTCACAGGACACACCTGGATGAGCGGCTTGCACAGGAGCTGATGCAGTGTGGTGCAGACCTGCACGAGTTCCCCACGGTCCTGGGGAACACCATGTGCACCTCGGACTTCTACGAAGGTGACGGGGACGGGCCTCGCCTCCTGGTGGCGGGTGGGGCTCCTGCACAGGGGCGGGGGTCTCCATCACCCCTGGGCTCCCTTCTCTTCCGTGTTTCTGTGGCGCTCACAGCGCTCTGCTTACGACTGGGCGCTTTGGGCTCCAGGGTGGGCAGGGCCTGGAGGGATCCATTGTGTCCCTGGGTCCTGGCGGGCAGTGCATCGCAGGCACGCAGTAGGTGCTTTCAATGTGCAAGTGATGAGCGTGCCCAGGACAACAGTGGCATGTCTGCATGTGTCTGCAGGGCAAGGCCGTCTGGACGGTGCCCTCTGCTCCTACACAGAGAAGGACAAGCAGCAGTACTTGCGGGCGGCGCACGCGGCCGGGGTCCGCAACATCGAGATGGAGTCGTCAGTCTTGGCTGTCATGTGCGGCGCGTGCGGGCTCCAAGGTGGGCAAGCGTTTGGCCACCAGGGTCCTCCCTCCGGGGCTCAGCCTCCAGGCCCCTGTGCGGGTCCTCCTCCACCCCCCCTCCACCAGCAGCCGCTGCCTTCTGCCCACCCTGCCCCAAGGCACGTGTGTGGATGGTTGGCATTGTCCAGCCCTGTGCTCAGACACCCTTGACCGCCACGCAGTCCCATGCAAGGTCCGCGATGGCCCGCATGCCTCTAAATGGGATGAGGAAGACCCACGTGGGCTCAGGTCAGGAAGCCGTGAACGCTGCCTGAACCTGCTTTCAGAGCTCTTTGGACTTCTGACCTGGGGTTCCACCCCCAAGTCCCTAGTGTCCCCTATAAGGTCCAGCTGTGCCTTCCAGAATCACCAGAAGCCTGGCCTCTGAAGGCAGGATAGGGCCCCCCTCCGACCCCAAGTCGGCCCTGGGACTTACTGAAGAGCTTCCTTTCGAAGTGCAGGCTGAGGGGGCCCTGGGGGATAGCAGAGGGGACTCCTCGTCCAGTCTCAGCAAAGCAAAAGCTGGAAACCTGGCACTTTGTGTTGATGTGACGTTTGCTCCCTGCAGCGGCTGTGGTGTGTGTCACTCTGCTGAACCGCCTGGAAGGGGACCAGGTCAGCAGTCCTCACGAGGTGCTGGCTGAGTACCAGAAGCGGCCGCAGCGCCTGGTGGGCCACTTCATCAAGAAGCGCCTCGCGGCCGCTGGCCACCCCCTAAACCTCTGAAAACGTGAGATTGCAGTTGCTATAAATAAAATCACCACTGGGGGTGCCAGCCTGGCTCAGCCTGAGGGGTCCTGACTTTGAGCCCCACGTTGGGCACACAGATTCCTGAAATAAATAAACTTGAAAAAAAAAATCACCGTCAAAATCTCCTTTTGTATGTTTCTGTGCTCATTTGAAAATGTAAGAATGTAGGGAACTGGGTTGCATTTCAGAGGAAAAGAATCCTGTATTAGCAACACAGAAGGTTTTTTTTTTTTCATGTTTATTTATTCTGAGAGAGAGAGAGAGAGAGAGAGAGAGAGAAAGCATGAGCAGGGGAGGCAAAGAGAGAGGGAGAGAGAGAATCCCAGGCTGGCTCTATGTTCAGCACAGAGCCAGAGCGAGACTCAGACACATGAATTGTGAGATCATGACCTGAGCTGACATTAAGAGTCGGAGTGGGGCAGCCCCTGCCCGGGTCTGGTGTGGGGTCAGGCGGTGCCAAAGGTGGGTGACGACATTATTCTCTGAGACAGGTGCCGGCTGTGCATCCAGGGCCCTGTGCTTTCCAGCCTCCCCAGACTCAGAGGGGATGTGAAGCTCCTAAAGCCGTGGTTAAAACAGTCCCAGTGTAGGGGCGCCTGGGCGGCTCAGTCTGTTAAGCATCCAACTTCGGCTCAGGTCGTGATCTCAGGGTCCCTGAGTTCGAGCCCCGCGTCGGGCTCTGTGCTGTCAGCTCGGAGCCTGGAGCCTGCTTCAGGTTCTGTCTTCCTCTCTCTCTCTGAATCTCCCCCACTCACATTCTGTCTGTCTGTCTGTCTCTCTCTCTCAAAAATAAACAAACATTTAAAAAAGAAATAAAAAAGAAAACCACCAAACTGAGGTTGAGGTTGGACCGGAGGTCCTCCTGCTCCAAGGCCTTTTCCGTAACCCCACGCCATCTGCGGGAATTCACTCTCAGGGTCACCGTCTCCAGTGGCCTCCGATGCCTGACCGGTCGGCTGGTTCGTTCCAAGGGTGTCGGGGTCCTGGTTTGCGTCTGAAGGGCCTGACCTCACACTTGCACTTGGCCGAGCTAGAGAATAAAAGCACGTGGCCCACCTGTCCGCCCGTGACCTTCTTCCCCATGACCACAGTCCGCGGCCCAGCTGAGGAATGTCAGTGACCCACTCCCTACTTGCGCAGAAGGAGAAAGGGCAGAGTGAAAACATTTAGCACGCAAAGCACTGGGCGAATGTTGAATTTCAAATCTGCTCCTAACACCATCAGTTAATGTGCAGCTGTTTGCCACTGCGTTCTAACACGGGCCTTACCACCGGTCTCGGGGCAGCACGCTTCTACATTAGGTCGAGCACCTGCTTCCTTGTCTTGGAGCCAAAACAGTGGACAGACCCTTCCTCCCTAAGGGGTTGTGGTTCCTTGTGACGCTTAGTGTCGTGTGTTGACCTGGCCGGATCGTGATGCCCTGCGTGGTACGACAGTGTGGCTGTCGCTGTGGAGGCGTTTTGTGCATGTGGCGGACATCTACAGTCGCTTGACTCTGAGAGGCAGAGTCCCCTGGATTCAATGGGTGGGCCTCACCTAATCAGTGGACGGCCCCACAAGCCAACACTGAAGTTTCCTGGGGAAGAAGGAATTCTGCCTCAAGTCTGCAGCCCGGAACTCCTGCCTGAACTTCCAGCCTGGGAGTCTGCCCTACAGCCCCCCCCCCCCTCCCCGGTTCTGAGAGCCCGTATGGCCTATGCAGTGGTCAGGTGGGTGCACAGCACCACGTGCACTCGGGGCGCCTTCTGCAGTCCCAGGCCTCTGGGGCGGGGCAGCCCGGCGCCCGCAGAGAACTCCGGGATCAGAAGGGAGAAGCTTGGTTTAGTCCTCACTGACTGGATAGCTTGCACACTCTTCGACAAGGGCCCCACTGCGGGAAGTCACCTGTCCCCTCTGCCCTCTGCTCCCCCCCCACCTCTGTCACAGAGGAGAGGAAGGTGGTGGTTCACATTTTCATTTTCCCTCTGTTCGGGGTGCAGAGAATCTCAGACAGAAACTACGGTGCACAGCCTGGCATGTGAAACACAGAAGTTTTAGGCTGGTGGGGAGGGGAGCCTGGGGGTCTCAGCCCGTTAAACATACGATTTCAGCCCGGGTCATGATCTCAAGGTTCAGGAGTTTGAGTCCCGTGTTGGGTAAGCTCGAGCTCCAGGCTGTCAGTACGAGCCTTCTCTCTCTCTCTCTTTCTCTTTCTCTCTCTTGCTGCTCCTCGCTCACAAGTGCTCTCTCTCCCTCAAAAATAATAAACTTAAGGGGAAAAAAAAGAAGTTTCGGGCCTGGGCTGAGGAAAGGAGTGGTGTTAAATATTAATCTGTGTCTATCGAACGTCAGATACCATCTTCGGATTTTCAGTGACACGGTAGCTCCCTGTCTCCACGCACTGCAGGGTAGGTGTTCTGTTTCCCATCCCACAGAGGAGGGAAACCGAGGCCCGGGGCGGGGGTCGTCTGGGGTCACCAGGCTGTGCTGGGGACCCGCGGCTGGTGTTCTGAATTCCGCATGGGGACCGTGGCCTGCTGGGCGAGGGGCACATGCCACCCACCGAGGGCACAGTTTCCACACCGAGGAGGTGAAGTCCCAGGACGTGCTGCTTAGGGTCCCAGAAACGGGGTGGGGGCTCCCCTCTCCCGGCCCAGGCCACGGCCCCCAGGGAGCACAGGGCACCTGCATCTGGTGCTTACAGAGTGGTTGGGGCAGAGGGCGGGGGCTTTTCCCGGGATTTACTGTTAGTAGGTGTTTATTTGGAAAGTGCCTGGGGGGCAGGGGGAGTGGAAGCAGATGGAACAGAGGGTGGGAATGTAAAGGACCAGGCTTGGGCGCGGGGAGCCACTGTTAGATGCCTGGGCAGCCACTCAGAATCACAGCAGGTGTTTTTCTCGCTACAAAGGCGATCAGCGGATTAGGTCCAGGCCTTTCTGTTCAGAGAACTCGCTGCCTTCGGCCAGGGCAGGCCGCACACTACGGGGTTCAGGTTCAGAGTGGGCTTCGTGGCTGGTCTGTGGGCCTGGCCTTTCTCCCTCGCCCCCCTTCCCCAGTGACCCAGGGGAGTGACCCTGCAGGGGTTCAAGCCAGGATGTCTGGTCTGACTTCAGGCGCTCAGAGGAAACGCCCAGAGCCGCGTTTCTGGCTTGTGCACCCAGCAATACACGTCTATGCAGCGAGCTCCGGCCAACAGGCTCCCGGGACTTGAGGGAGCGGCTGGAGATGGAATTCTTTCCAGGGAGATGTCACAGTGTGGTCACAGAGGAGAAACGAAAGCTAAGGAAGGCCCCACCCACACGGCAGCCCTCAGGGGTCCCTGGTTGTGCAAGGGGCAGTGACAAAGAGAATTTTCAGGAAAAGAAAAAAAATCATGATCCCTTCCCCCTCCCACCCTTGCAGGCATAAAAGTAAGCGTGTGCCAAAGACCGTGTTTTACAGTCAGGGAACTGGGCACGCGTTCTACAGGTTTCAGAGAATGGGCAGGGCGCCTGGCTGGCTCCGTAGAAAGGGCGTGAGACTCTTGATCTCAGGGTCGTTAGTTTGAATCCCACGTTGGGTGTAGAGATGACTTAAAGTTAAAAAAAATAAATAAATACAGGGTTCAGAGAATGGAAAAAGCACACGCTGCTGGGAGGGAGAGCCAGCGACGTTGAAACAGACGCTTTGCAGGGCCGGGAGGGGCTATTTTTGCTTAGGGCCAAGGTGTTCAGGTCTCTTTCAGGGGGGCTGGTTTTGCTGAGGGACCTGAGACAAATTGCTCAAATCTCTTCTGGGGGCACATTGCTCCTGCCCTGTGGTGGCGGGGAGCCGATTGCCCGGGGAGGCTGGCTTACAGACAGCACGTGGTTTTCTTCTTTTTTTCTTTTCTTTTTTTTTTTTTTTTATTTTTTATTTTTTTTTTTACAAATAGTTTATTGTCAAATTAGTTTCTACATAACACTCAGTGCTCATCCCCAAAGTGCCCTCCTCCATGCCCATCCCCCCCTCCCCCCCACGTCCATCAGTCCTCAGTTTTTGTCAGCATTCAAGAGTCTCTCATGGTTTGCCTCTCTCCCTTTCCCCCACCATTTCCGCCCTTCTTCTCCCGCTTGTTCCTCCGTCAAGTTCCTCCTAATCCTCCTATACGTGCAAACATATGATATTTGTCCTTCTCTGCCTGACTTATTTCGCTCAGCATAACCCCCTCAAGGTCCATCCATGTTGCTACACATGGCCAGATTTCATTGTTTCTCATTGCCATGTAGTATTCCATGGTATAGATAAACCACATCTTCTTGATCCATTCATCTGTTGATGGACACTTAGGCTCTTTCCATGTTTTAGCTATTGTGGAGAGTGCTGCTATGAACATTGGGGTACATGTGCTCCTATGCCTCAGCATTTCTGTATCCCTTGGGTCAATTCCTAGCAGTGCTATTGCTGGGTCATAGGGAAGTTCTATTGTTAGTTTCCTGAGGAACCTCCACACTGTTTTCCAGAGGGGCTGCACCAGTTTACATTCCCACCAACAGTGTAGGAGGGTGCCCGTTTCTCCACATCCTCGCCAGCATCTAGAGTTCTCTGATTTGCTCATTTTAGCCACTCTGACTGGCGTGAGGTGGTATCTCAGTGTGGTTTTGATTTGTATTTCCCTGATGAGGAGGGATGCTGAGCATCGTTTCATGTGTCTGTTGGCCATCTGGATGTCCTCTTTGGAGAAGTGTCTGTTCATGTCTTCTGCCCATTTCTTCACTGGGTTGTTTGTTTTTCGGGCGTGTAGTTTGGTGAATTCCTTATAGATTCTGGATATTAACCCTTTATCTGATATGTCATTTGCAACTATCTTTTCCCATTCCGTTGGTTGCCTATTAATTTTCTGGGTTGTTTCCTTGGCTGTGCAGAAGCTTTTAATCTTTATGAGGTCCCAACAGTTTATTTTTGCTCTTGATTCCCTTGCTTTTGGGGATGTGTCAAGTAAGAAGTTGCTGCGGTGGAGGTCAAGGAGGTTGTTTCCTGCTTTCTCCTCTAGGGTGTTGATAGTTTCCTGTCTCACGTTCAGGTCCTTTATCCATTTTGAGTTGATTTTTGTGCATGGTGTGAGAAAATGATCTAGTTTCATTCTTCTGCATCTTTTTTTCTTTTTTAATGTTTA